AATACTTGTGCAGGGTGTCCCGGCAAAATGTCCGAAAACTGTTAAAATTGACATGTTAACTCCATTGTGCACAGTGACTGCTCCGTCTGACGGCAGTGTTCACCTCGTGTTAAAACCTCCCTCAATATCCACTTCAAGTGAAAAAAAACCCTTGCAAAATGTAAATTATCCCGAATAAAAATTTATCGCAAATTCCTTGTTTGTTGTATGGAAAGTAGTTCCGACCCGGGGTTTAACTGGTTTGGCAGTCAGTTAAACCCCGGTCTGAAACAAAGGTAACCATGGTTTAACATGGGATATATAGTCATCCCTGTGTCAGTCAGAAATCTTTTCGTTTCCTGATCAAAATTTAAAGATGGTTGATAAACAAGCATGCACCACATACTATTTAATTATTTCAAATGCTTAAAGTATTTGTCCATAAGTTATTTCAGTTTCAAAAATACCAATATTATTAATTTTTTTACTAGCAGTAAAAACGACAATACTGGTTGTGGTTTCAAAACCATTCTAGAGCTTTGATCAAGTAGCCCAGCACCCGTGAAGATCCAGTTTAGAACTGATCTTCAGTAACCCATGCTTGTTGTAAGAGGCGACTAATGGGATCGGGTGGCCAGGCTCGCTGACTTGGATGACAGGTGTCATCGTATCCCATTTGTGTAGATCGATGCTCATGCTGTTGATCATTTGGATTGTCTGGTCCAGACTCGATTATTTACAGACTGCCGCCATAGCTGGAATATTGCTGAGTGTGGCGTAAAACTAAACTCACTCACTACAAGGATCCTAAGTTAATGATTTTTCCAATTTTAAGAAAAAGATGTTTTTCAGTAAAAATATGTGTTATATATCTAATTTATGTGAATCAGTTTCAAGTTTTTCATGAAGATTTCAGTCCGTTTTTTAAATGTTGCCGAGGTTTCAAATCAGATAAAAAAAAGTATATACTACAAATATTTGCAAGGGTTCACTCAATTCTGCTCACATAAGAGGGGGTGGTGGGATAGCCTAGTGGTTGAAGCGTTTGGTCGTCATGCCTAAGACCTGGGTTCCATTCCCCACATGTGTACAATGTGTGAAGCCCATTTCTATTGTCCCCTGTCGTGATATTGCTGGAATATTGCTAAAAGAGGCTCAAAACCATACTCACTCACTCTGCTCACATAATAATATGTAGTTGCCAGTTAAAGTTAAAAGAGAACAAACTTATCTGCCACTGTTACTGGCCTAATTTCTGATTCTGAACATTATTATCGTCAAGGCATTGACAAAACCGTAATGACAGTTTTTTTTATCAAACCTTTATTCAAAGTGTGTTGACCTACAATTTTCTATGTTGGTATGGGGATCTGTCTCATCTCAACAAAAACAAACTTTTCAAAATTGTTAATACTGCTTGCAAAATTTCTGGAGTGTCTTTCGAGTATACTCCCTTTATCTATGAGCGCCAGATTGTCAAAAAGGGAGCTAAAATTAGATTTGATAGTTGATATATTTGATCTCACCATTTTGAACTACTTCCTTCTGGACGCGGCTGACGATTACCTTCCCTCAAAACAAACAGAGCTAGGCAGTCTTTCATACCATCAAGTATTCGTGAATGCAACAAATATTTTGAATCACCATCATGTGATTAGAACTAGAATTATTCAGCCTCTTTACCTATGTGGTTAATTGAATTATATCATGTCAGTTTTAGTTGTAAATAGCAAACTTATCCTTCCAATCACCTTGAATTAATAGCATAGAAAATATAAATAGTATCATATTTTCCTAATCTATCATTCTGGCATATGTTTCTTCAAGTTCTGTTAAATCTTGATACAGAATGTCCCATTTATCACCAAGACAGGTAAAACTGTAAGATGAGTTTCACTGTAAGATGGATATCACTGTAAGATGGGTATCACTGTAAGATGGATATCACTGTAAGATGGGTATCACTGTAAGATGGGTATCACTGTAAGATGGGTATCACTGTAAGATGGGTATCACTGTAAGACGGATATCACTGTTGCCTTTGCTCCCACATTAAGCTGACATGCCATGATGTATCTGGAATAATGTTTAAACTGGCATTAAAACACAACTCATTTGTTCTCCAGACTCCAGGCTTTGAAATTCAAGCCAAAAACTCCAACTATTGTCTTAATAAGTGTGAAATATTGCTTTTGTGACTGTAGCTTTTAGCTGCTATAAAACTATTTGGCTTGCCACTGAAACAATGGGTCGGTCTGTTTTCCTGAGATCTGTTCTTGACATTACCTTTCTGTTTCATACTTGACCTATATACAAGAATTAAAGTTCTTATGAAAGGCACTCTGAGAAATATTTCTGGCATATTTTTTGCAGTTAAAATCTTTTGATGATGTGTGTCAAAGGAAGACAAGATTGGAATCTTTTGGCAAGTGTAGACTGCCTTGGCGCTATGCTCCAAAGTTAAGCATTGTTCTGGGCTTCATACAGATTTTCTTCAATATGTTGTGGATAAATAATTATAGATATGATGACTCTATTTCTGGGACTAAATGTTAGGCTACAGTGTACCCAATGTTAACCTGAGTAATGTGATATTCATATTCTCCATTCTGTATTGATACTTAAACACGGGCTGTGAGCTTTTATATGTTATGACAGTAAATTAACTGTTTATATAATTTCATTAGTCTATTTCACCACACGTTCTTCTTACCCGAGACACTTTCTCAGTTCGATACTTAAAAGCAATGTCATTATTTAGCATTGACAGAATTTCTAACTGTGATATAGATATGTCGTTGTCACAGACAAAACTCAATATCTTGTTTTATTGACACCTGTGTGTCTGCCTGCCTGTCTGCTAATGACAATATTCAATACACAGCTGCTATCACTGATGCAATTTGAACTTAACACCAATCAGGATATACACCATAAACAAAATGCATCGATTTATGGCCCGAAGTTCGGTCTCTGTCACATTATGTAATTACACAGACAGGCAGGTGTGATACTTGAAAACATGACATGTTATGATATCTGTTGATTGCAAAATGTTATACACAAAAATGAGCATGTATTTACAAAACCCAACATCTCTCTATATATATACACACAATTAGCGTGAAAAATAATCTCAATCCTGTGTACACCCAGTGCTCAATTTATGTAAGACAAGTTAATCTGCACCAGATGTTGAAATGCAAATTTATGCACCAGATGCAGACTGCATCCGTCTCTTATTTAGGATTTAGATGACTAGCCTCAGGTCAACAGGTTAGTTTTAATTGTTGGAACTCGTAATGTTCAGTGGTTAAATGACTGTAGCGTGTGTATCATCAAGTCTGATGATACACATTATGCTGATTTAAGAAAAAAATATGTCCTAAATAATTACCTATTAAAATATCCTTCAACTGCCTTTGTTTCCATTCTATCCTCCCAAAATGAAAATATAATACGTAATCTAGCCCTTTTTATAAAATGTGCTGTTATCCTTGGAAGCAATATCGTATCTGAACTGTAATTTCTTTTGTGAAATGTCTGTAACATGTGCTGTATATATACTTGCATTACTTGTATATGGGCCGGAGGCCTTAAGTACAATAAATATCTTTGACTTTGACTTTGGCTAAGTGATCACCATTGATCCACACGATGGGGTTGGATGACTCGCAACATCTCAGTCAGTCAACCAGTTAATACTAGTGATGCCACAATACATCGATACATCAATACTTTTTCTAAGCCGATACTATTATCGATACATTCAAAACTGTATCAATATTTAGTTTTGAAAGTATCGGTTTAAATATGTTTATGTATCGTTTACATTTTGCAATTGTATCACATGTTTTTTGATGTTACGAGAGTTATAAATGATTATTTTTCATGCACAAAGATGGGAAATTAGATCTTTTAATCTCTTAGAATAAAAAATGTTGATCTTTTCATGGACAATTATAAAATATGAAATATTAATGTTCAAAATGTAAGTAAATTTATGCAATAATGCCGCAAAAATAGGTGTGGTACGTATTGAATCGTGACATGGGTATCGTGATATGTATAGATTCATGAAACTTATGTATCATGACATGCATAGTTGATACAGGCATATTTGTTATAGTTTGACTGCATAATGTCTACATTACTATGTGACTGAAATAGCAAGTCTCCAGAAGTCACAAACAGTGACATGTTAAATTATTCCACATGTGAAATCTATCAACTGCTGAGGTTTTTGGCTCAGGAATCCCTAGATAACACCTCAGTGCAGATTCCATGGTTGTATTTCTATACTTTAACCACATCATCTAGTTATCGACACCATTTGAACCACATCATCTAGTTATTGACACCATTTGAACCACATCATCTAGTTATTGACACCATTTGAACCACATCATCTAGTTATTGGCACTATTTGTTTTCTCTTAAATATTAAGGTTAATTAGAGTCTGGGGTTACAGATTACACATACAGAAAACGGGATGCCCATCTGCCAGGTTTCTTTAATGCTACTGATACAGAAGGACATGGCATGGCTATTTTAAGATGGGCAGGAAAGTTTAGAATAGTCAGAAAAAGCGATTCTGTTTGCATTTGTTTGGTTTTGTATAATCCAATCTCAAGTGTAAATATCAAAGCAGTTTTTAATCGTGGAAATTTATATATGTTAAATATAAGTTCCATAATGACTTGTCCATGACACCAAGGCCATGTTTCAACGAGCATATTTTTTTTTTAACTTTGGAAACTGAAAATGACATTTATTTAACATAGCATTTGGTTTAAATTTAGTATTTCCCAATTTTTTATTTTTTAATTTTTTTTGGAAAACTTTAGAAACTGCCATTACATAGGCATGGAGCTGGTGCATATTTCTCACCAATATGGTGGAAGCAGTTTTCTGTACCCAAGCCCAAAACAGTAGATCACTAAAAATATTTAAGCTTTTTACAATTTAAAGTAAAATCCTTTGCGTAGTAAGGAAATATAAAATGTGTTTATCTTTACAGACGGTCGTGTAAACTTCACTTTGAAGTATCGCCCCTGAAGATTGTTCGAGCATCCCGTCAGTATCTCTACGATGATGCCGGGAATGAGTTCCTCGACTGCATCAACAACGTCTCACACGGTAGGTGGTATACTATGCTAATAGCTTCTTTGTACCAGCATCTGCTAGTGTGTGTTTGAACCCCAAGTTTGCTCTTTGTTTTCTTTAGCATTTTGGGCGGTGGGGTGGCCTAGTGGTGAAAGCATTCGTCCGTCACACCGAAGACCTGGGTTCCCATTGGGTACAATGTCCGAAGCCCATTTCTTGTGTTCCCCGCCATGATATTGCTGTAATATTGCTTAAAGCAGCGTAAAACTAAACTATGTCTCTTTTAGCAATAATCCAGCAATATCTCAACGGGACACACCAGAATTGGGCTTCACATATTTTACTTATGTTGGGCATCGAACCCGAGTCTTCGGTAAGACAAGTGAACACTTTAACCACTAGGCTACCCCACTGTCCCCAGATTATCAGACGGACGACTACAATACATTACATATACAAGTAGATACTGGCATACTATTACTACAAGAATGTTTTAGTCTTTAGACAACTCTTCAGTGTTGAAGATTCTATGATGTGACAGTTCTATAATTGATCTGAAGGGAGAGAGTCTGACCCAAAGACTTGTAGAAGTGAGCCACATGGATGAATTTAAAATAGGAATGTACAGTTTGAGATGTGTGATCAATTTCACCATAGGCATTAGGGTTAGATGTTCCTTGTATATCAGCATGTGAAGTGCTAATTATGTGAAGAAAATTGTGGTGGTGCTGTGAAAAATTGAAGCTCCCAGTTCCTGAGTGGCACGATCAGGAATTCTGTTTTTAACAAACATACCTTGTGGCGTTGTTTATTATTTAATCCAAGTGATAACTATCCTTCTGGAAGTGTGATTATTATAATTTAGCTTAATGCACTGGATGATTCATAAAATAAGTTTTGTGATTCAGAACTTTTTATGAATTCATCGAAAATGAAATGGGTACAATTTAGGAATTACTCCTGATAACAGTGATTATTCACCAAGATCAAGGGTGGATCAACAGTAGTCTTCTTGTAGGCTTTCTTAAACTGAAATGGTTTGTCAAAACACCTTTAGAAGTATTCTGTGGCACACTCAAACAATCACTGAGCCTCAATTTTAACATCTGTTCTGTTTCGTCAAAGACATACTTTCATAGGCAGGTGCTTGTTCTACCTTTCAATGATGTTATCTTATCCTAGATAACCAGGAGTGTGTGTGTCGTTGTGTGTCTGAATTCTACATTCACAGAGATAGAGTTTGTAGCCTTCACAATTGTTGTTAAAATTCATTACATAACCAGAACTGTTTCATCCAACAAAACCATTAAAAATTTGGTATCTGTTTTTAGGTTGTTTCCATGGTTACAGCTTGATTGGATCTGATAAAATTTGTCCTAAGTTGTTGTGGATGTAAAGATGAAACACTACTGAGATGATATTTCTCTTTCATCTCACTAGGAAAAAATGTTCATTTGAGGGAACCTAAAAAACTAGTAGCAGTTACAGCGATCAGCATGTTTGTCAGTCAGTTTTCTCTTTCTGGATGAGAACCTTTGAATATTCCTTATCAGAACTTGTTCTACAGATCAGTCTAATGGTAAACTGGTGCCTTTTGATGATTTGAGGTTATTATTTCTAAATTTTGTTCATGATGACATGTTGGACTTATATTGAAAATGAGGATTGTTCTTGTTTTCAGATCAGAACTCCCAAACCATGGGATATTTCTGGATGAAACTTGCTCTTTGATGATTTGGTTTTTATATTTTTAAATATTTTTAAAAAATATTTTCATGATAACAAGTTGAACTTTATTTAAATTGTGAGTATTGCTCATTTGCAGAACAGAATGTCAGAATTGTTAAATATTTGAGGATGAAACTTTTTATGCAGATCAGTCTACTGATAAACTGGTGCCATTTGATGATTTGAGATATTTAAAAATACTGGTAAGGTTTATATTTTTTCGTCTCAAAACAGAAGGTACCCAATGTCAATGAAACAAAAGTGGGCAATAATAGTCCCGATTACTCCTGTTTGAATAGAGACGACTGCAGATGGGACTATATTAGAATGTCGGTAGTGGTAGCATGTTGAGTAGGCCATGCATATCCTCTTAGGTGGGTTAGTGCTGATAATTATTTTCCAAAATGTGGGCCCACCTTGTCTGTCATAGAAATAATGGGGACCCCAAATATTAAACTCAAAACTTTTTGTGGTCGGTTTGCTTGGCATTCCTTACATGTGGGCCATATTGTTACCGTCATGTCAAGGGATGGAAAAGGGTGTTTAAATAATATATGAATAGTAGAGGTGGTGACAGCTGAACACGAGGCAGCCAGACAGGTGAGACAAACTGTGACAGAAATACAGTGTTCTGGACGAATTGTTATGTTACTGTAACCATGGTTACAGATAATATGATTCACAAGTCACATGTTCAATATATTGTCACTGTAATTGTCACATGGCTTTTTCTTGCTCGCACCATGAATCCAACTTTTGTGGTTTCATGGGCCAAACTGGAAATATATAGCAAACATTTATATCATCTCTCTCATTGATGTTTGATTTGAAATTTTTACATGGTAACCAAGGTTACAGCTAGGGGTGAAACGGTATACCACGGTATTAGTAGAACTGCGGTATTTTGCCTTCGGTTCAGTATACCGTAATGCAGTAAAAAAAGCGGTATTTTTCGGTTTTCGTACCGTCATTTTATTAACATTTTTATACTTTTTTTATATTGTCTAGAAATCAAAATGCTTTGCTGGATGGCCACTATTTTCCCCAGAAGTTCTTATATACCGAACTGAAACGGACTGAACCGAAGACCTTGTACCGCAATACGTACCGTATCGTGGTAAGAGCGTACCGTGTCACCCCTAGTTACAGCAACCATTGTATTTCTGTTACATGACAGTCACAGGGTTAGAATAAAGCTGATTGTCATTGACTGTTGGAAATATTTTCCAAAGACGAGCTGACAGAAGAAAGCCAAGTAATTCATTGAGCTTCAGAGGAAAGCTATGATGTAACTTCTTCAGTGGTTAAAGTAGGATTAATGCCAGATTACAGTTTTTATGTATATTGATTCTTTGGTTTAGAATTGCTGAGTCAAAGAGGAATAGTACTCGGACCAGATGAATATAATTATAACGTAAACATTCCCTCTGGATTATGGTAGCCTTATTCCTGTGGATACACAGAATACATACAGAAAATCAAAAGAAATTTTAACACTAAGTCATAGCTATTCCTAGTGGTATACCTAACCTACCCCTGAGTTATCTCCCTTGATCCTGACGTCACTGTATTGTTCTCCTAGAACCCTTCATAATGTTTCTGTATGGTCCACACGCATGACGTGCAGAGAATCGAGTGAAATTTCATATCAAATCAAGACTTCAATTCTTCATATATAGGTCAGTTACAAATCGCATTCCATTTAATATTCAATCGCATTGCTGTTTTGCATTTATATTAGATATATTTCCAGCGTATTTAGGGTCTGAAGTTTTCCCGCCCTTTTTGATTGACAAGTATGGCGCAGAGCAAATGTCTGCAATGTCAGAAATTCATGGCGGATGTTGATCCCCACTCTCTGTGTGCTTCCTGTTATAAAGGCTTACCTTGCTCAATTGCGGATCGATGCTTATTGTGTCAGGAAATGTCTGAAGAAGATTGGTTGTTGATGGACAAATCTCGTTCCTTAGTTAGAAAGGGTAAACATTCATTGTCATCAGAATGTTCTAAGTCGAAGAAAGTTCAGGGATCTCCGCCTTTATCTATTAAATCTGAACCGAAGTCTTGTTCTAGATCTAAATCAAAATCCTCTCCCCAGTTGGATATATCTGTGTTCCCAGAACTTTTGGCGGGATTTAAGTCCGATATCCAGGCGGCCATGGATAAATCTATACGGGATATGGAGATGAGGAATGACGAAAAATTTAATCGCCTGTCAAAACATTTGGAGGAACTTGTTTTATCTGGCAAGACGGCAGATAGCCGCATTGGCTTGGTGGTCGATGGCAAGAGCCAGGGGCCAAAGTCACTTCCTACGGAAACCAGGGGTGCAATGACCGGGAAAGCCGGTTACCATGTCCTGGAGTACGTAGGAGGCCGGTCCCCTAAAGGGGAGAAGCCTAGGGTTTCAAGCGACGGGGATGGAGTCAGCCCAGCCGGCTCCGGATCCGGGGTGACCGTGGTTCAGGCTACACACTCCGCGTCCTTTGTCCCTGGGAGCCAGTCATCCGTGGCTGCTCCCTGTCGCATACAGCCTGCTACCTTCTCCCACGGGGAGACCAGGCTGAAAGCGTTTCACGGGTCTGACTCGGTCCAGATGGCACGTGATTCCTGCCCCGGCTTTAGCCAAGCCACTGGGTCGGCTGCTATGGATAACGGTGTATCAACCCAGCAGTCAGATTTGCACGGGCCTAGCGGTTCAGAAGACACGGCTATGAAAGAAGGGTTGTTGACGTACAACCTGTGGACATGTCAGCACAGGATTTTAAGTCGGGCTGGTCATTTAAGGAAAAGCTGGAACTTTTGCACGGACTTTATCCTAATACTCTACCTCCTAATACTCTACCTGAGCAGGAGATAGAGATTCCCGTGGAACTCGGATTATCAGGTTGCCTTCCCCCGGAACGGATGCCCAGGCTGTCATTACCACATTCATCATCACTTAAGAAAGTGTTGGAGAATTACAACTTAGGCCTCTCCAAGGCTACGAACTTGAGTTCTTTGCCTAGGGTTTCTCATAAACCCATATATTCCATTCATGATCGTGTTATCCCAGCTAATCAACCAAGTTTAGACAAGGACTTTAAACAGTTACAGGATGCTATAGGCTCTCGTGACTATGCTCCGTTCTGTACTTTCAAGGATTGTAGGGAATTGGATACGGCAGCCCGTTCGGCGATTGATACCCTATCTTATTCAAACTGGTTTTCTGCGGGAGTTCGTGCCTTGCTCCCACCGGTGTTTCAAGATTATACGGGAGTTAAGAAAGACACTTTGATTTCCATGACTGCTCAAGAGGTGGCGTTAGCGCATTTGTTTCTGGATGTAGTGTATCAGTCCTTAGCCGATGCGATGGCGACTCAAGTGAATATATTGGGCCCACTTACAGCTATTGAACGGATACAGCGGCTAGATTCAGTGAGGAATTTACCAGATGTTTCAAGGGATTTTCTGTTTCATCAGCCCTTCGAATCGGCTAACACCTTTAATGGACAATGTCAACTGGCTATTGAGGCTAGAGATGCTTTGACGTCGAGGAACTTGAATCAATGTTTGGCGTCGGCTCTTTTATTCCAAAATAGAGGAAGGGCTGACACTAGATCTAGAAGGGGTTCCAGTGTTACGTCTCGTTCTGCTCCATCTTCAACAAGTCGTAGTCAGAATTTTCAGAGGTCTGCATTTGAATGTGCCTTGGATTCAAGAGCTCGTTCAACAAATGTGGCTTTTACTAGAGGCTCATCCTCATCTAGGGGTAGAGGTAGGGGAGGTAGATCTTTTCGTGGATCAAGATGAACTTCCAAGAAATATTGACTCAAGTCTCACTGTTCAACGTTCTCTTCCTTACGAATCGGAAACTTTCCTCAACATGATATTGGAATTGGACTTTGTATGTCCGGTGACACAATCTCCAGTAGGGGGCAGGTTGGCCCAATACTTAGACAATTGGAAACTAATAACATCAGACGACTGGGTCCTGTCTGTCGTGAGCAGGGGGTTTATTCTTCCTTGTCACAAGCAGCCTCCAGTGACTTGCTTTCCAGAGGGTCGTCGGTTTGTTCTTCAAGGCCAACGTTTAGCGGGAGCAAACTTAGCAATAAATCAGTTACTGGAGAAACGGGCAATCATAGAACTTCCTCCAGGGGATCAGACATGCGGGTTTTAGTCACCGGTATTCCTAGTCCCCAAGAAAGATTCAGACGAAATGCTCATGATAATAGACTTGAATATCCAACGATATTTCCTAAGTGGGATTTAAGGTTATAGTACTGTCGGAAATAGAAAAAAACTGTTTTTAGGCTGTTACTCTGTATCCATAAAATTGTCACAATTGCAAATAGCATATGTCGAAATTACCCACTTCGGCCTAACTGGGCGTTCAGTGGGATGCGTAATACAATATCCAGAAAAGCATGTTTACTCGTAAAATCGGGCAAAACTTAGACAAAATACGAATAGCTGCTGAAAACAATAGATCAGACTATAGATGGCAATTAGGTGACTCAGCCAGGTATGACTACGGACCGTCGACTCACCTGGCATGAAATGCACGTGTTGCCTACAGGCACAAGGGGTCATCTCAAAGATATTTTGTGCTTTTTCATGTGTGTTGACTATGTCTCATCTACTGATGAACATCTTAAGTGTCTTTCTTTCATAAAGTTTATGTTGAGATATGTAAGAGAGTATGATACCCGAAAACCATAGAAATGCATAGTATATAGGTGGCATGACCACCCGAAGATCGACAGGACTGGATATTACATTGTATTTGTAAATTGTTATGACGTGCCGTGTACCTCCCCAGTATAATTGCCCTAGAGGATTATCTTATCTTAGCTGATATCTCTATCCCCAAGCCCGACCCCAGGTTTTGCTTTTGAGGCGACCCCTCCTATCTGTTTCTTTTTATAGTGACAGTAAGACTGCATGGTAGCTACATCCATATTAGTTTCGGCATAAAAGTTATTATTTTATACGTCAGCTATCGTTTATAATGAATTTACGTCAAATTTCAAATTTGGCATTTAAAAAGTGTTCTTTGTAATACAATATCGTCGCACACTAATTTGCATAAAGCCACGGTCTGTTCCAAATAAGTCTTTTTGGACTTAGAAAAAACCCGCATTGCTCATTTCTGCACTAATTTCCCTTCAGTAAAGTCCTTTTTCTCCGTTTCCTATCTCTCTACCACTGAGACTGTAGTTAGGCCGAACTTAGTTTAACAGATATTTCACACTTTCACATATCAACTACATAAATTGTAGAGATAACTGAGAAAATACAGTTTTTTTCTATTTCTGACAGTACTTTAGTACTTCAATCTCTTCAAAAATCTCCTTATGAGCCTATGCAGGATGCTTCTCTAAAGTATCTGGCATTTAAGACGGCATTTCTCTTGGCATTTGCAACGGCTTCCAGAGTTTCAGAATTACATGCTATAGACTATAAATCCATCACTTTTTCGGAAGGATATAAACAGATAACTTTTAGAACTGTGCCGGAATTCATTGCCAAGAATCAAACTTCCTCTTGTGGTCTGTTGGGACATAGAATATATCGTATACTTCAGCTTCCTACCTCTACCTCTAGATCGGATAGGACTAGACTTTAGTGTCCCATACGTGCCTTGCGCTGGTACATTTAGCCTGCTTTAACGTTTAGACGTTATTGTCGCAGACTGTTTATTTCATGTAAGACAAATGTAGACTCTGAGATATCCAAGAATACCATATCTTCATGGCTCAGAAAGACTATATCTTTTGCTTATAGGGATCAGAATCAAGACTTAATTGATCTTAAATTCTCCCCCCATGAAATTAGAGCCCTAGCTTCATCCTTAGCGTCTTGGTCGTTAGAACAATTTGTGTCTAGTTGTCAATGGAAATCTCCTAATACCTTTATCAATTTTTACCGCAGGGATGTTGCTCCCTCTATTGAAGGCTTACATTCATTAGGACCTTTAGTAGCGGCTCAGCACCTCGCCTCCGCCTGACTGCCCCTTTTTGGGTGGGGTGGTGTGTGTTGACCTGGCATCTACATCTTCAGGAAGGATGACGCAGTGAGAGATGGTGCCTGGGACTGTCTGAGGGACCACTCAGAAGGATGATGGATGGATACTGGTCAAGGGACAGCATGTAGCAAGACAAGTTGACATAGTAAGAGAATTTACATTTAGATGTATCACCTAACCGAGCACAATATGGACAGAGTTTCTATCTTCTGAGCTATGGTTGATGGCTTCAGGTTATAATATGATTTACAAGCTCAAGGTGGTTACCTTAAGGTTTGAGTTAGGCACATTTATAGTCTAATGACAGTTAACCGGAAGTGACGTCATAGAACCGGAAATGACATCATAGAACCTGAAGTGATGTCATAGGACCGGAAGTGACGTCATCTAGGTTAGTTAGTATTACATCATAGAGATTGTCTCTAGGGTCCGGAAGTGTGGTCATTAGACCGGAAGTGATGTCATTAAACAGGAAGTGATGTCATAGAACAGGAAATGACATCATAGGACCGGAAGTGATGTCATAGAACCGGAAATGACATCATAGAACCGGAAGTGATGTCATAGAGCTGGAAGTGATGTCATCTAGGTTAGTTAGTATTACATCATAGAGATTGTCTTTAGGGTCAGGAAGTGTGGTCATTAGACCGGAAGTGATGCGATTAAACAGGAAGTGACGTCATAATTACCGGAAGTGACGTCATAAGTTTAAGGAATATTAGATTTAATGACACAATTCGGGACTCGGATAGAATCATGATATATTCATAGGAATCTAGCGTAATCCGGATTTATGGCGTTAGGAATTATATAATTCCTACAATTACGGATTATGGTTGATATCTATCATATCAACCATAACTGTAGGAAGTTAGAAGACTCTCCATCTCTGGGAATGTATTCCCCCACTGCTACTGACCAATCTGGAGATAAATTATTTATCTTCTGACTAAGTCATAGTTATTCTTAGGAGGTTGAATAATCAACTCTCAGTTAGTGATATAGAGGGCAGTGTCTTCCAAGGGTAACCCCTCCTTCCTTACTTGGGATTCAGGCTACCATAATCCAGAGGGTATGTTTATGTTATAATTAGGAACAATTACGTGTATTGTTAGTTATTGTTAGTAAACTTACCTCTGGATTATGGGGAGTAGTTCCCATCCTGTGTCCTCCCCGCTAATTTATCCTTAGAAGATGTCACAGATGTGTTGTTTTTAGAAAAATTATGAAGGGTTCTAGGAGAACAATACAGTGACGTCAGGATCAAGGGAGATAACTCAGGGGTAGGTTAGGTATACCACTAGGAATAGCTATGACTTAGTGTTAAAATTTCTTTTGATTTTCTGTATGTATTCTGTGTATCCACAGGAATAAGGCTACCATAATCCAGAGGTAAATTTACTAACGATTACTAACAATACATGTAATTGTTCCTTTTTTTTTAGCTTTTCTGTATTTTTTCCCAGTCTTCTGCCCAGCTGTTCATTCATAGTTAACGTTCCAGTGACGCTACAAGGCCAGCGAAGCTAAACCTTTGTATTAATGATCCCAGCCATGGCGTCTGTGAAAATTGTTCACTGTCTTTGATGTTTATATTAGCTAATGTTTACTGGGAATATCTGGATAATCAAGGCGTCATTGTTTGTGTAGTGTTTACATGTTTATATTAGCTATGGTTACTGACCATTAGTTCTGCTGTTGTTTACGTCTTATTGGTCATTTTCTTGATAAACAAAGCTCTCTTGATAGTGTAGTGGCTTCTTTTGGTGATATCCAGATAATCAAGGTTCTTTTGATGGTGTAGAGTGTTTATAGTACCAATGTTTACTCTAGGTGTCCAGATAATCAAGGTTCTCCTGTTAAGTTCAGTGTGTTTATATTAGTTAATGTTTACTAAACATTTCCAGATAAACAAGGTTCTGCTGTTTTATAGACTTTATATAGTTAATGTTTGCTAAAGATGTCCAGATAAACAAGGTTCTGCTGTTGTATAGACTTTATATAGTTAATGTTTACTGAAGATGACCAGATAAACAAGGTTCTTCTTATTCTGAACATGTACAGAAGATTAATAGGGTGTGCTGTGCAAGTACACCTCAGTGAAAGGAGGTGCAGAGGTTATTGTCCTTGACCTCGGAGGAAGGACAGACAGGTCAGAAAGTGGTGAATGTTGGACTACTTTTGTCTACACAACCAACTTGCCAACGTAATTTACAGAAGAACATGATATGATGTCATCACCTCGAATATTCAGAATAACTCTTGACTGCAGAGGAGAAATAGAATAAAAAGATATTTTTGTTGAAAATTAAAATATGTAGATCTATGCATCTTTTTCAGAAATTGTTAACCATCATGTTTGCATAAATTAAGGGTGGAACAATATTTCACGATGTGCAGTGTATGGAAAATATTTGTTTGAAGATGTTATGGGAATGTTTTAACAGTAGTTGCTGTTTGGTATTCATGAAAACAAATTTAGTTCTCTGCGGGTGTCTTGGGGCACCTCGGCAGTTAGTGAATCCAGAAGTAAATCTCATGACCCGCTCATGAAGATCCGGGTTAGAATTGAACTTCCGTAACCCATGCTTGTCGTAAGAGGCGACTAACGGGATCAGGTGGTCAGGCTCGCTGAATTGGTTGACACATGTCATCGTATCCCAATTGCATAGATCGATGCTCATGCTGTTGATCACAGGATTGTCTGGTCCAGCTTCATGCTGTTGATCACAGACTGCTGCCATATAGCTGGAATATTGCTGAGTGTTGACGTTAAACAACAACCAACCAACTAAGAACTGAATCACTTTGAGCTTTCCTCTGATATCAAGTGACACACTATGATATTACTAATATTCCGGTGCCATTATATCCAACTCATTGCTGTGGAGCCTATGGTGATTCCATGTATACAGTATTGGTTCCCAGTAATCTATTATAAGGGTAATGCTATTTTTGAGGGCATTATCATTTGCAGAAGCCCGAGGTCTTCCATTAACTGCCCGACGAAGGAGGGCAGTTGATAAAGACTGAGGGCTTCTGCAAATGATAATGCCTTTTATATAGGGAATTTGTGTTGAAAAGACAAAAGGAAACAATGAAGGAATTTGACTGTAAGTTTAAAATCAAATTCTGTTGACTGCCCGAATGCAATTACGCCATCGATCAAGTGGCCACAACAGATATAACAAGACCATAGCCTGCAATGTCACTGACAGTGTTGTCCATCAACAGTCTTAATAGTGCAATCACCAGATATTACCGCTGAGTGTGGCATTTTGAAGAACATCTGCCAGTCGAAAAGCACTAATGTCGAACTATGCGCCACTTGACAACAGAACTGGTGGCCCGTCGTTCATATCATTTGCAGCGGACCGCAAATTTCTGATAACAGAGGGCCGCTTCATGATAATTCCATGGTTTTAGCTATAAACTTTATATAGGAGGTGATTCCAAATCAGTTTATCGCAATCAGATATAAATACCACACCAGATATTGCTAGCCAAAGCTGAATCATTGACATGGGTACTACTTTTCCGTGTACAGAAACCCCCCCTAGCCAAAATCAGAATACAGAAATGTATCCTACGACGAGTCCATTCCGCATTGTGTTGTTTTCTTGATCGGAATCGTCATACTGTTGTATTAGATGTATTTTATATAAGAAATGAGCATACACACTAACAAATATTTAGCGATGCCCAATACCACTCGCAATCAGATAAACTACATACGGTTTCGGTTTTGGGCTGTGGGATATGGGCTCGTGCCCCGTTTAGGGCACTGGCTACGTTTCTGTATTTTGACTTTGTTTAGGGTATGTTTCTGTATACAGAAATGTACTTGAGGTACATATCTGTTGTACCTGTGCTGACAACAACCCCTTCAGCGACATCGGTTATCGCCGATTTCATCGCTACTGTCGTTGTTCCAGTTGGTCACTGTCACCCCCATGTGGTCAGTGTGGGGCAGGAGCAGATGAGCAAGCTGACCACAAGCGCTGGATTCCTCAATGACCAAATGTCCGAGTATGCCAAACGGCTCATCTCAACATTTCCAGAAAAGCTCTGTGTCTGCTTCTTCTTGAATTCAGGGTAGGTAACTCTAATCAAGGGAAACATTATCACTCAGATATTTTGTTCTGGTTTTGCAGGTGCTCCTGCACCAAATTGTGCTGAGGTAAAACAATACTACTACAAAATTTCTATTAGTTTTTTCACAAAAGATAATTCTTTAACATGCTCATTTAGAGCTTTTGAAAATACTAACAAGATTTTTTAATTACCAAAGTTCTTATTCACTGTTTTTCCAAAATTGACATCCCTCAAAGATAAGTATATGTCATCACATAATTGCTTTACTTGAAACATTTAAAATATATTTACTGTAAAAAACACCAATACACTGCTGCTTATACCCTGATGACAGTGCCATGAGAGCTCTTGGTAAAAATACACAGGTTAAGCTACTGCATGCATGGATTATACCATACTGTGTATCTCACTTAGATAGCAACAAGGTAACAACAAGTGAAAACACTCTCTTAAAAGTATTTGTAAATATTTGACTCCAGTGACCACAAATAATTAATTGAATTCATGAAGGGATACAGTAGAATTAACCATGCGAGTGAATCGTAACGGGACAAGAACATGAAAGCCTAACTCTACCATAATGTATGTGAATAGTAATCCCATCAAAACTGCAACAGGATTTTCTTTTCCAAATGTTTGCTTTCAATTATGTGAGCTTACATTTCAATCATGCAGCTTTCTATGTAATGTTAGGTTTGAAAGTCACATATTTTTGCCTGCCATTGATCCACAGTGATAGATAAAAAGTCTTTACTGGTCTGGTTTCTGACTTGATAAGTAAATATGTTGTTGCAAGATTTAACACATGAGTACTTGTATTTGAAGGAAAGTGTCCCGGGAAGTGAATTAATTTGCATTTGTTGTTAGATGTCGTTGCTGAAGATGCTGCTGAGTGTGATGCAGATGTGCATTGGTGATCAGGAAAACATGATGATACAGTTTGTACCTCTCAGGTTCAGGAGCAGCACAGAGATGCTGTTGTTACAGCAAGTTTTATACTCCTTGACACAGAAATATTGTAAATTATCCACCGATGAGTGAATAGTGACATTGTATGTTTCAGGTCGGAGGCTAATGACTTAGCTCTTCGCCTCGCCAGGTGCTATACGAAAAACGAGGATGTATTGTGTTTAGATCGGTGAGTCATATTATCTTGGTTTCTGATGCTACATTTGCTCAAGTTTTCATGTCCTCGTCTCTACAGGCTACAACTGTCATTATCATTAAGCCGAATAATTGCAAAATTCTTTCTTATTTCAAGCGCCTATCATGGAAACCTTGCCAATCTGCTTGACATAAGTCCATCTCGGTTCAAGACGACTGGTCACAAGCAGAGAGATTATGTCCACATTGTAAGTATGCACGTCGTGTCATTTGTTTATATTCTATTATATTGTATGTATGATGTTATAAACATTTATATCACTGTTGTTTCCTTACTTGTATTATGACCCAGGGTGGTGGGGTAACCTAGCGGTTAAAGGGTTCACTCGTCACGCCGAAGCCCAGGTTTGGTTCCCCACATGGGTACAATGTGTGAAGCCCATTTCTGGTGTCCCCCGCTGTGATATTGCTGGAATATTGCTAAAAGTAAAAGCGGCATAAAACCCAACTCACTCACTCACTCTCTCTGTACCTTTACATGTCTGTGATGATGCGTAACATGTCTGTGATGTACCACAATCCCGGGCGATCCAGATCACTGTATTATGACCTATGAAGATCCAAGTTAGACCTGTTGTTCAGCAACCCATGCTTGTCATAAGATGTGAGTAACACTATCCAGTGGTCTGGCATGCTGACTTCTTTGACACACGTCATTCTATCCCATTTGCTTAGAGGAATGACCATGATGTCAATCACTGGTCTGTCTGGTCCAGACTTGATTATTTACAGACCAATGCTAACTGTTCTTTTTTGGGTTGAAATGGTAGTAAAACAGATCCAGGGTATGTTCATCATAATCATGATTATAAATGGGGGTATAATACCATGGACAAATGAGATTGGTAATACCGCTAACTGCATTCGCCACCTTTTGACTGTTGACGCCACATCAGCTGTTGTGAGAGCTCTCATATTTTCGAGATTGGACTACTGCAATAGTCTCCTCGTTGGATGTTCCAAAGAAACTATATACAAACTGCAAAAAATTCAAAACACTGCCACAAGAATCGTCACAAGAACCAGCTCGAAATCTCACATATCACCAGTATTGAGATCACTACACTGGCTTCAAATAACGAAAAGAGTTGATTTCAAACTGTTGACTCTCATTTGCAAAACCATCCATCATCAAGCTCCCGGCTATCTCAACGATCTCATTGCTGTGTATGAACCTGCAAGAGATCTCAGATCTGCTCATCAACTACAGCTTCAATTGCTGCCATACCGTATGAAAACTTTTGGATCACGATCTTTCCAAATTACTGCTGCACGCAAATGGAATTGTCTGCCATTAAACCCCAGGACCGTCCCAACACTTGATGCATTTAAAGCAAGCCTCATTTGTTCGAGAATTAGACTTTTCATCATGATGTATATATGTTTGTGTTAGCGCTTCGAGCATGCTTTGTTGCGTGGAGATTAGCGCTTTATAAGACTTCTCATTATTATTATTACCTACTGACCCTCGGTTCCAGATTAGTACGTTTTAGGGGGATGATGGGGTAGCCTAGTGGATAACACGTTCACTCGTCAGACCCCGGGGTTCGATTCCCCACAACAGTACAATGTGTGAAGCCCATTTCTGGTGTCCCATGCTGTGATATTGGTGGAATATTGCCAAAAGCGGCATCATTAAACAATGGCGCAAATCCCAGTTTATGTAGCGGAGAAAAACGCCTTATGCATCATTAAGCACTGATAGGTAATGGACTAAGTCAGGGCAAGGTGGACAACAGCACTGATTGATGAGACTACCTATCTTCTGACTAGTTTTACATCCACCTGATGAAGGAGTAAGGATACACTGAAACATTGTGTTCCTCATGTTACAGAAGTTGAGATCCATCAATGACATTCAAGGAGTGTTTGTGTTACATTACCCATAAATGTAGAAATCGGATCTCAAGTGTGGTCCCATCAGCTCAGTGGATCCAGTTTTGGTCTGATGTCAAATGACATTGTTGGAGACATCATGAACACTAGGTGACTTCAGTTTTCCATATTTGCTCATTGTTGATATGATGTAACTTTGCCATATATTGAAACAGACCAATGAACTTGAAGCAATACCGGTAATTATATTGTGGAGTGAGAATTATAGAAAATAAGTCACCTTTATCCTTTATGTCCATTCCCTGGTGTGTCCTATGGTCGCAGTCATCAGGCCTATGATTATCCATGTTTGGTGACCTTTGAATACAAAGACTATTCTATTTGTTTTGTATCTGACATTCTCTGCAGACAAAACTATTGTATCTGCCTTATAACCATCTGTGATGACCAGGAGTGTTGTATATGCCTTATAACCATCTGTGATGACCAGGAGTATTGTATAAGTCTTATAACCATCTGTGATGACCAGGAGTATTGTATCTGCCTTATAACCATCTGTGATGACCAGGAGTATTGTATAAGTCTTATAACCATCTGTGATGACCAGGAGTATTGTATCTGCCTTATAACCATCTGTGATGACCAGGAGTATTGTATATGCCTTATAACCATCTGTGATGACCAGGAGTATTGTATATGCCTTATAACCATCTGTGATGACCAGGAGTATTGTATATGCCTTATAACCATCTGTGATGACCAGGAGTATTGTATATGCCTTATAACCATCTGTGATGACCAGGAGTATTGTATCTGCCTTATAATCATCTGTGATGACCAGGAGTATTGTATCTGCCTTATAACCATCTGTGATGACCAGGAGTATTGTATAAGTCTTATAACCATCTGTGATGACCAGGAGTATTGTATCTGCCTTATAACCATCTGTGATGACCAGGAGTATTGTATCTGCCTTATAACCATCTGTGATGACCAGGAGTATTGTATATGCCTTATAACCATCTGTGATGACCAGGAGTATTGTATCTGCCTTAGTGACCATTTCTGAAGACACCGATTGTGTGCACTATGACTAGTATTCCACGATAAACATCTAATGTGTCTGTTAAAATATGGTTGGAAAATACTGGTATATTGCATTTTTCAAAATCATGCCTATTCTCATCTTGTTGGAATATCTTACATTTATGACAAACTAAAATATGCAACACGTTCCTGTGATCCAAAAAACCCGAACTATTTGTGACCAGTCTCCTGTATAGAATGTGTCCATTATGCAAGACTTGTGACCTTGGCAACATCCCCAAAAAATACTGGTACAAAGTTCCCCAAAACACAAAATTTCCCTAATGTGTGTGGGAAGTGTGTTATTCTGGTCTGTAACATCTAGTAGACGAGAGAATGCAAGCTGTATATTGCTGTACGTAACACAATGCAGGAATCATTATTGCAGAGAACGCATGCTGTATATTGCCGTACGTTACACAATACAGGAATCATTATTGCAGTAAATTACAATCTAACATTCAGGTCAAGATACATTTGTCGCTGCACTGTAACCATCCTTGAACCATGGCAACTGAATGGTGAGCACTTCCTTTAGGAGGTTTCCTGGATATTCCACACTAACACTGCCTTCCTTATGTATAGCTTCTGGTATAAATAAATGTCTCTGGCAGTGTCCCTTACTCATTATCGCATGCTTGCATAGAGGGGACAAGTATTGATCCATTTGAACAGGAATCAGTTCTAATATTACCAAATAATTCCTATATAAAAACATAAGACAAGAATAACTGAAAACAAATATGTTCTGCCTTTGTGTGTTTCAAGAAATTGCAGACATTTAGAATTAAAAGTTATTTGTGTTGTGATTGGTTGGACCAATTTGGTCACTTACATAAGAACTTTGTCTGACCTAGTTCTTTCTTTCTTGGTCAATGTCACCGTGCTTAATTACAGACAAATGAAGACATCTGTTCTGATCGAGAACAGGTTCTCGCTGCAATTAGTCGAAAATGGTGCATGGTTTCATTGAGAATAGTCAAGAACAAGCTAAACAAATGAAAACATAATCCCAAATCATCCCAACCTCATCCATATTTCTTTGAAGATCTCATTACTACTGAGTTCAACAGGGTTTGTCCTTACCTGTACAGCTGCTGACAAAGCCATTACTTCTTGCAGGAATCTTGTTAACTTGTAAATGAAGCAGTAGTCAAATGCTATGTATAATTTTAAAACACAACATTCTTTTGAAATCTGTGATTGTCACATTTTTCTGGGGCGGTTTGGTAGCCTAGTGGTTAAAGCATTCACTTGTCATGCCTTAGACCCAGGTTTGATTCCTCACGTGGGCACAATGTGTGAAGCCTAGTTCTGGTGGCCCCTGACATTGCTGGAATATTGCTAAAAGCGGCTAAAAAATTAACTCGCTCGCTCAGTAGGCAAAAGTGGCGCTGTCTAAGGCACATAGTACCATGTACTGAGCTGCATCCTGTAGTGGCAGAAAATTCATAAAATCTTTAAGTTATTCGCTCACTCACTGACATTTTTCTATTGGTTGACAACTTATTATTTGCGACAACATTTAGACTTCTTGCAGCTTCATGAAACGATAACTGAATTACATTGCCTGTTATGTGTAGAGAGATAGAATTAGTGTACACAGATAACTGGATAAGTGTGTCAAAGAGGTGGTGAAGCAAGTGTTGATAGATCATCTGCCCAGAGGACAGAAGGTTGGTGGTTCGAGGTGAAAAGATGGTACTTGTTCATTTCATAGCGCTTGACATGAAGGATAGGGCTGAAACAAGGCCAAAGTCTGTATACTGTCTGAGTGGGATATCAGTGTTAAGCTGCAGAATGGTATGCTTGTGGTCTAGCACTTGTACAAGCAGCCACACACACCCAACCACTAATGCATGTGAATGCATAAAGCTTTTTACGTGAACTAAATTGAATTTGATGCTGGCAGTTGAAATATGCTTTTGAGTCATAAATGGTCATTTCTGCTTGTATTGATCTGATGTGCAGTAAGAATGTGATGCATGTCTGATGTTTACATGTTATGCCATGCGTGTTTATTGGTAGTAAGTAAGTTTTATGTTAATATATGTACTGTTTGGATGTAATATCAATGATCCCAGCAACAATGTCATTAAACAATGGAGCCGTGAAGATCCTGGTTAGAATATTGATCTTCAGTAACCAATGCTTGATGTAAGAGGCGACTAACGGGATCGGGTGGTCAGGCTCGCTGACTTGATTGACACATGTCATCGGTTCCCAATTGCGCAGATTGATGCTCATGCTGTTGATCACTGGATTGTTTGGTCCAGACTCGATTATTACAGACTGCCGCCATATAGCTGGAAAATTGCAGAGTGTGGCATAAAACTAAACTCACTGACTCACTTATTAAACCATGAATTCAAGTCTGATTGTAACCATGGTTGTCTTGGAAGCCATGTAACCTTGACCTTCAAATTAAAGAAACCAGTACAGTTGTTTCAGTGATCATATGTTAGCCAAAAGATCATTTCTACTCGTGAGGCCTCAATTTCGTCCAAGGTGGAAGCTTGATGGTTGACCATATGAAAGCTAATCAAGTAATATATAACTTGAAAGGCTTCTGTTTAAATCACCATCATTTCAGCTATTGACAGCATTGCACAGTCAGCAACAGATTTCCCTTGTATAAGCGAACAGGTAAAGAGGTCAACAATTGTGCTGAAAATAGGAAAATCTTTCAAATCAGGTTTGGGGGCTTCTTTAGGCAGCTATGTTGACTATATTGATGTCACCATGAAGTAAGATGGGGAAGTTGGTAACAGAAATATCTGATTGAAAACATGTTTCCGTGTTTTGTAACTAATACACCTGGCGCTCGGCATTAATGGGTACAACAAGGACTGGTCGGCTCGGAGTCAGTATAATGTTGTCTGAGTGGGGTATTCATGCTTCACTGCGGCGTGGTATCTCAGTGGGCTAGCACTATAACACCAGCTTAGTCTGGGCTAGTACAAGCATCCGCACATACACACACATGGATGTTGTCATATGAGCGAAATATTCTCAAGCACGACGTTAAACCCAGTTTCACCTCACCTCACCCATGAGCCCCAGTCTGTGTTCTTGGTCACACCTGCCCTAGATATCCCATGAGCCCCAGTCTGGCTACTTGGTCATACCTGCCCTAGATATACCATGAGCCCCAGTCTGGCTACTTGGTCGTACCTGCCCTAGATATCCCATGAGCCCCAGTCTGGCTACTTGGTCGTACCTGCCCTAGATATCCCATGAGCCCCAGTTTGGCTACTTGGTCATACCTGCCCTAGATATCCCATGAGCCCCAGTCTGGCTACTTGGTCGTACCTGCCCTAGATATCCCATGAGCCCCAGTCTGGCTACTTGGTCGCACCTGCCCTAGATATCCCATGAGCCCCAGTCTGGCTACTTGGTCGCACCTGCCTTAGATATCCCATGAGCCCCAGTCTGGCTTCTTGGTCGCATCTGCCCTAGATATCCCATGAGCCCCAGTCTGGCTACTTGGTCGCATTCCTGCCCTAGATATCCCATGAGCCCCAGTCTGTTTTCTTTGGTCATACCTGCCTTAGATATCCCATGAGCCCCAGTCTGGCTACTTGGTCATACCTGCCCTAGATATCCCATGAGCCCCAGTCTGGCTACTTGGTCATACCTGCCCTAGATATCCCACGAGCCCCAGTCTGGCTACTTGGTCATACCTGCCCTAGATATCCCATGAGCCTCAGTCTGTTTTCTTGGTCATACCTGCCCTAGATATCCCATGAGCCCCAGTCTGTTGTCTTGGTCATACCTGCCCTAGATATCCCATGAGCCCCAGTCTGGCTACTTGGTCGTACCTGCCCTAGATATCCCATGAGCCCCAGTCTGGCTACTTGGTCGCACCTGCCCTAGATATCCCATGAGCCCCAGTCTGTTTTCTTGGTCGTACCTGCCCTAGATATCCCACGAGCCCCAGTCTGTTTCTCTTGGTCATACCTGCCCTAGATATCCCATGAGCCCCAGTCTGGCTACTTGGTCGTACCTGCCCTAGATATACCATGAGCCCCAGTCTGGCTACTTGGTCGTACCTGCCCTAGATATCCCATGAGCCCCAGTCTGGCTACTTGGTCGTACCTGCCCTAGATATCCCATGAGCCCCAGTCTGGCTACTTGGTCATACCTGCCCTAGATATACCATGAGCCCCAGTCTGGCTACTTGGTCGTACCTGCCCTAGATATCCCATGAGCCCCAGTCTGGCTACTTGGTAGTACCTGCCCTAGATATCCCATGAGCCCCAGTCTGGCTACTTGGTCGTACCTGCCCTAGATATCCCTTTACCTATATATAATTCCAGAGCATATTACAAATCTATAATGAAAAGCTTCTTAGAAACTTTGATATTGGGATAGTGAGACTTTTATATAGAGTATTTTAAATCCAAATTTAAAAACTCAAATATTTACCAATTATAATTTTATTGTAAATCTAACATGAGTGCTTCTATATACATAAACTTTACCTTTGAATATTTATATATTTCCAGAGCATATTTCAAATCTATAATGAAATGCTTCATAGAAACTTTGATATCAGTGAGACTTATATATAAAATACATTTTGTATTTTAAATGCATATTTAAAATCTCAAATATTGGGTCAAAGTGATCTGTTGAACCGTACAAGAGGGATTCTACAGAAAATTGTTTCTGTGAATACTTAGAAAGAAACTTTACATAATCATTAATCATTGAAGTAACATTTTTACAATTATAGAAATAATGGGATATGTCCTCCAAAGTTTTACAGTCGTCACATTCTGGTGATTCACTTAAGTTAAGTTTAAACAACCATTTCTTACATGGCACAATATTGTGTTTAATCTTGAATTGTAATTCTTTTAACTTGTTGAATAACGGAAGGGTTGTAAAAAGATTTTACATTTTGCTAGTATGTGATGAATCATTAAATGTATATGGTAAAGTGACTTTATTATCCATAATCATTGAATAAAAGTGCCTAGACTTAATCTTATCATTCATAATATTTCCCTGTAACTGAGGTGGTGTGTTTAACAAAAACTGAATTTTTGGACTATATTTATAAAACATATTGCTCCCTATTGCCCTTTGAACAGCTCTTTTGATGTTGTACAAATATCTACTGTTAATATTCAAAATATATATCTCTGGTAACTCTTAACTGTCCATTTTCATCAAGCAAATCTCTAACATATACAATGCCAGCTTTTACCCATTCATCATTATACACAGACTTCTTATATAAAATGACTAATTTATTATTCCAAATTATTTGATTAAATATATGTTCATCAACGTTAACAGTTTCTCTCCAATTCTTTAACATACATCTATAAAATGATGGTACAGCAATATGCAATTTTCTTAGGTCATAATTTCATTTTAGAATAAAAGATAACCCTCCTACATTTTTCAAACCTTTATCTAAAAACAATTTCCAGCTTCCATCAGAGGAATAATATCTTGGTATCCATGCCAAACAGAGTGCCTTACTCATACTGGTAAAATCCAAAGCTGAAGCTCCCTCTAGTTCTTTTACATTTAGCATTGTTGTTCTTTTCACTTTTTCATTCTTATAATTCCAAATAAATCTAAACAATTCCACATTGATTTCTTTACACAAACTTGCTGGAACCTGCATCATACTGCTTTGGTATATGAGCCTTGAACAACCTTCCCCTTCAGAAAGCAATATTCTTCCAAAAATTGATAAATTTCTTGATGACCAAATTTGGAATCGTTTTCTTATTTTCAAAATTTTGGGGTTTGAGATTTCTGTATTTATTATTTCTAAACAATTGGATACCTAAACATTTAATGCCACTGTAAACAATGTCTAAACCTTTTATACCACACGATATTGGACGGTTCTGTATAGGCATAACATTACTTTTCTTTACATTTATCTTAAGGCCTGTTATTTTTTTCAGATCTGTTGTAATATTCAACAGCTTTTGCTACTGATTGTATATTTTTTAATGTCAAGTTGGTATCATCTGCAAAATAAATGCCTTTCACTTCTTTCTCCCCAATTCTGACCCCCTGAATATCTAAATTTTTCCTAATTTTCATATTTATGATGTCGGAGCAAATAATAAAAATATAAGGGCTTAAGGGGCATCCCTGTCTAACACCTTTGAACAACTGAAACCAGTTGGTTGCCCTGCCTTTGTTAACAACACAACTTTGAGGCTTTTCATACAAAACTGAAATCCATTTACACATTGTCTCACCGAAATTGAATTTTTTAAAAACATTTTAACATATAATCCCACTCAATGAACCTGTATGTTATTTGTCACCATTCACTTGATGGTCAGTTAATGAATTTATAACAGGTATAATTAGTGGTAACACCACTTAGATTACCCGACAAAGGTTCCCATTTGGCATTTCTTGTGTCTGGAGTAAATACTCAACATTATAAACATCGATCAAAGGATTAACCGATAACATGCTGATTGATTAATTACTTTTATCTTACACAGCGGATTTATCAAAAGGTAGTGTTTATGACAACAATTAATTTAGAATTCCAGTGGTCTGACCTTTACATGAAGCCTTTACTTTGTCAGTCCTGTGGAGCACCTGTCATCTTTGATGGTTGTATTCATTGTGTGAATAAAGAAGTGATTTGAGTTTGATAGGATCAAATGCTGATTAAGTCAGTACAAACAATGAACTCCACAAACATGATCGGTGCAGAGAACTGAATTTAGAAGTCATTACTCTGGTATCCAGAAAGCTAAGGACGAAGATTCACATCGACCAAGGGGAACAAGTCCTTCAATTTTCATTATTATTTTATTATTATTGGATATTTATATAGCGCACATATCCACGCACTAGTGCATGCTCAAGGCGCTGGTATTTTTTCCCTTGATCATTGGATGTCAATCTCAGCGGTACATCTTATTATCAATCTCAGCTCCCTGGGGAGTATACAACTCTTGCTGCCACAAGGCGCACCGAGTTATTGTGACTTTCCCATCCTTACGAGGTACCCATTCACAGCTGGGTGGACTTGGACACGTAGTCACAGTACTTTGTCCAAGTTTGCTGCACGTTGCTGTACCCGCAACTAGGTGTTTGCACATATTCCTGTGGTCACCATCTGGTCACATACCAACGGATTCGTGGGTTCTTTTAAGTGCAGAGGGTTGTGTACTGTACACTAGGGATTGTGACAACACTGAAAGAGTCTGCACACAAAGTTGACTCCGAGGTTTTTACACCCGGTCACAGGTGGGCTCGATCCCGGCCCCTCAACCTCGCTGGATCACTAGCCTGGCGCCTTAGCCAGCTCGCCCACTACGCCCCCATCAACCTCAGGAAGAGTCAAGAAAACAATCCACAGACACAGGTACCAAAGTTTCTTATTTTCGCCACTGAAAGCCTGGTTTCAAATGACCGGAATATTCATAGATACCTAAGACCAATTCTGGATCATCAGGATCTCAAGATTCATCTTTTGTCGCATCTGAAAAAACACATTTGATGATGGACTGTAAAGTCAAATGTCTGCAGAGGAACTTATTTATGAAAACTACATCAATACATAGATGCTTCACTGCAACGTTTGGGAGCTCACTTTAACACGGAAGTGATAGCGGGACTGTGTTCTGAAGAGATTCTTGAGAGGCATTTAGAAGTTGGTGAATATATAAGACGAGTATATGGATGGCAACTTCTTCTTTATTGTATAACATGACGTTCTGGGCTACTTCTTGCCCCTTCCACATCACCTGAAGAAGGGGCCCAGCCATGTTGTGTTGTACAGTAAAGAAGAAGTTGCCATCCATATACTCGTCTTATATATAGTCTGAAGGAGAGAAGTCTCTTCACATCAACCAGCTAGAATTTGAAGCAGTCATCACAACCATATCTTACTGGGCTTCAGCAGCTCAATAACAAGTTCCTTATAATCTGCTCAAACCATTTATATAAAGCAACAAGGCACTGCAAGGTCGGAAAGTCTTTTATGGTTGGCGTTTCAACTTTATGAACTGACGGACAGTCTCAACCTCACGATAAGAGCAATACACATTCCAGGAGCTACAAAAGTGATAGCTAACATATGTTATATTTGGGATTACACTTTCTTTGTAAAGTACAGATTCTAGTACTTTTGTTGGGTTGAGTCCCATCCAGGATTCGAACCCACACCCTCAGAGTCAGGCACCTAATCGCCAGCACACAAAGTCAGACGCCTAGACCGCTCAGCCACCGCGGCTTCCAAAAGTACTGGAATCTGTACTTTACAAAGAAAGTGTAATCCCAAATATAACATATGTGACATTTGACCACTTTCTAAATGGCATTGTGTATTTCAAAAGTGATAGCTGTCAAGACCAAACAAGGACTTCAGTAGAACAAGATTTGATACTGTGAACATTATGAGCAAAGAATCAACTTCCCACACTATGGTATAGGAAGTTCCACATCCCAGCGCTGACTTCTATTTTGGTTTCAATAGAAAAGATCGATCCCTCTGCTCAGTCAGAGCTATTTACAATTTCTTGCATAGAATGGCTTTAAGAAGTAAATTCAAAAGGTGATTCATACCTTTATCACCCAGCACTTCTGGTGAGGGTTCTAGAACAATGAGATCATTTTGAATAAGAGCAGTAATTCTCAGGCCTACAAAGCTGTGCAGCTTCATTCACCGACAGCATCCAATCCACACGAAGTAAGAGCTGTAGTGCTTCATGGCAAGTGCTCCATCACATCCATTATGGAAGGATTTCTGTTTCTGAAAGTCTGATACTGTCTTTGCCAACTATTATCTGAAAGATTTTACTACAGAAGATGTTGCTGGTATTCAACCATTTAGAGTGAGTGAGTGAGTTTAGTTTTACGCCACACTCCGCAATATTCCAGCTATATGGCGGCGGTCTGTAAATAATCGAGTCTGGGTCAGACAATCCAGTGATCATCAGCATGAGCATAGATCTGCGCAATTGGGAACCGATGACATGTGTCAACAAAGTCAGCGAACCTGACCACCTGATCCCGTTAGTCGCCTCTTACTACAAGCATTGGTAACTGAAGATCAATATTCTAACCCGGACCTTCAACCATTTGGACCTTTGTTTGTAGTGCAACAATTGACAGTTTCTTTAAGAAGATAATTCTCCCCAAGAATCACATAGACTTGTGGAAGTCCGGTTATAATGAACCACTGTAACTCCATGCCTACCTGTTATACTATGTAATTCAGAACATGAGTGATATGATTCAGTTATAGTTTATGATCCACAAGATCTTTTGATTTAGTTCTTTTATCTCTAAAAGAAGGTGCTACCCCTGTTCATTAAGATTCAAGAAGGTTCTAAGTTCCCAAAGAGTTATATGAAACTGTTCATGACTTCAAAATTCCACCTTCTGACAGATTCAAGTAAATAAGTGTCAGTCAGGATAAGGTAAAATGTGTATCATTTAGAGAAAAAGTATTATTTTAGTTTTATCCTGACTCCAATGCTAAAATATTCACCCAACACTCTCCACTAATTATGTTTTTTCCACTATTTTAAATTTTAAACATGGAGATAAGGATGAGTTGTCGGCTGGTCACGTGGGAGATCGGTGCAGCCGGAGGGGTGCGGTCGGTGAGATGTTGTTACTGTTCATCTTCATCATGAAATCTGTTGGTTTATTCAAAATGTAAAGCCCTTACTAAATGCATAAAGGAAACAGCACTGTGATGAATTACTCTCCTTTAAGATGATGAATGGTGCTCCTTTAAGCTGCGGCTTCCTTGTGTGCACGACAACAAAGGTGTGGCGTGCAGGTGTGTACATGCTCAGTGGCGTGTTGACACGTTACCTGTAATTAGCAAACAGACATGGCCCTAATTATAATTTGACAGGTTTTGAAATTCTGCATGTTTGTTAAGAAATTTTACATTAAATGTAAATTGTCAAACTTTCCATGCACAAAATCGCCTGCTTATACCGTAATATGTGATTACATGAAATCAAACGTGAATACATCATGTTATGCCCTTTGGGGTGAATTCCTATATTGAGAGTTTTCTTTCAGAGGGAGATGTCAGCTATTCATGTGCCATTATATGATGGCGGAGTAAGTTGGCTTTTGTGGCTATATATCATACTGTGCCAGCTGGGTGTCGGAGGAAAGGGTGATGTGACAGGTTGTTTGATGATAAACTCCATCACTAATGGAGGAAAGGGTAATGTGACACAGGTTGTTTGATGTGATAAACAGTCTGTGGATCTTGAAGGGATGCAACTCTGTAGAAACAGATCATTGTTGAATTGAGTGAGTATGGTTTTACGCCGATTTTAGCAATATTCCAGCAATATCACAGCAGGGGACACCAGAAATGGGCTTCACACATAGTACCCATGTGGGGAATCAAACCGGATCTTTGGCGTGACAGGCCAACGCTTTCACCACTAGGCTACCCCACTACCCCTGGTTGAAACAGAGATCACAGTGATTTTCATGGCCTGTCATGAGTGAGCTGAAATACTATTAAGAGATAGGTTACGTCAAAGTAACTGAGACATGTTTAAAATGTAATTTGTAATTGTAATTTAATTAATTAAAATCTCAATGTAATTGAATTTTTCAATTACTTTTTCAATTACATCAAATTACATCTCACTTTTTTATTTTGGTGGTCATCAGGCAAAACTCATTAGATCAATGCATTAGATCAATCAACCTTTGTCCTCACTATGGATAGATACAGATAGTATCTAAAGCCATTACT